AGCACTGTTGAGAGTGCTAACATGCTAACCCAGACAAACAGGCACAAACCAGGACTGTCCCCAACAAACCAAGGGGCAATAACAAAGGACACGCTCCTTTCAGCTTCTTCCCAAGTAGGTCAAGAGAGATGAGCAGAGAGGATAGAGAGAAGATAAAACCCTCAGGGTATAGCCAGGTTCTGAAAATCATAAGAAGGATATGAACTACATAGTTACAGATAGGAGGCTTTCTTTTCTCTCCCCAAACACCTTGAGNTAAATCTCCCCACCAGTTGGAGAACCCAGGATTTTCAGATCAAGTTCAGAGCTCTTTCCATGATGCGTTTCCACAGCAAACACAGGCCTCCCACCAACACCACTTTTGTAACCCCCCATAATGGGTTGAATAGTGTCCCCCTAAAACTCATGTCTTCCTGGAACCTCAGAATGTGCTTTCATTTGGAAATAGGGTCTTCGCAGGTATAATTAAATTAAGATGAAGCCATACTGGATTGGAGTGGGTCCTAAATCCACTGACTTATGTCTTTATCAGAAGAGGAGAGGGCACAGAGAGACACACACAGAGAGAGAAGGTGGCCATTTGAAGACGTAGGCAAAGATTGGCATGATGAAGCTATAAGCCGAGGAACACCCAGGATGACCAGAAGCCACGAGAAGCTGGAAGAAGCAAGGGAGGATTTTTCCCTAGAGGCCTTAGAGGGAGCATGGCCCTGCCAACACCTTGATTTTGAACTCTTATCCTTCAGAATTGTGAGAGAATAAATTTCTGTCATTTCAAACATCCAAGTTCATGCTGCTTTGTTACAGCAGCTCTAGGAAATGAATACACCCCCATCTCTTCCACAGCTCATGACGCTTTTCCACCCCTGAATCCTTCCACACCCAGATCATACTTGATTTGGCACCTGTGTCCATGAGGGCTGGTGTAGCTCTCTAGTCACTGTGTCTCATGGCCATCTGGCCTTCCCAACCTGGCTGGATCCCTGCATCTCTACAAATAGCTGTGCCAGGCCCTGGGCTAGGCCCTGAGTACAGTAATGAGCAAGCAGAGACACAGCTCCAGCCTTCACGGGACTTACCGTCCTATGAGAGCCAGTCATTAATCAGAAAGCCAAGCAAAGATATAGTTGCCAATGAAAGGAGTGGTATGGAATAAAAGTTCAAGATGCTTGCAGAGTGTTTTATAAGTAGAGCAACCATAATATTTAGGAATCAAATAGCACTGTTGAGAGTGCTAACATGCTAACCCAGACAAACAGGCACAAACCAGGACTGTCCCNAGGATATGAACTACATAGTTACAGATAGGAGGCTTTCTTTTCTCTCCCCAAACACCTTGAGCCTGAGCAGGGACAATCGTAAATGCTTGGCCTTCGCCTATGCAATGGTCCAACAGATCTCTCTCCAGGACCATGCTGCTTATAGTGTGTCTTTGTCCCCAGCAGGCAGGGATGTGACCCGGGAGACAGCTAATCCATTTGTCTGTGTTCTCTGGCTCCACTTCCCTCCCAGCTGTAAGCGTGAGCGTAGCCTTATAATTAAATTTAAACACGTTGGCGTAGCCAGGCCAGGTTTAAATCCAAGCCCCTTCAGCCACCAGCTATGTCAGCAGGCCCACAACCTCTCTGACCTTCAGTGTCTTCAGTCTCTACCTCACAGAGTGGTGGTGACAATACTGTACTGGTGTATAAAGGAGCTAGCAAGAGTATCTGGCACCAAGCAGCAAACAATAAACATTAGTGACCAGGTTATCTATCATTAAATCCTCCTTCATCAAGGGCCGAATGTGGCCTCAGAGGGCCTGNTTTCAAATGAGGAAACTCGATACTAGTGTGGTCAAAAGGGTTGTTTAAGGTTACATAGCAAGTGAAAGCCAAGAAGACAACCCTGGCTTCAGACCCCAAACCCGTAACTCTTTCCACTGGAACACATTCACAAACCCATTCCCCCAATGACCCGACCTAGATGAGGGCTGCAGCCTAGAGGCCCGGCTGATGAGTCTTGATAAGGTTCCCAGAACTCTTGCTACCCCAGGCCAAGTTTGGTAGCAGAGCGCAGTCCTCAACACTTGGGTCAAGCACAGCTGACTGGTTTATTCCATTCCCATTTCTCTTTGAGTTCTCAGCTTCCAAATGAGAAAGCTGACTGAGAGCCCCACGGGTCTGGGTGGGGGCTGTGCAAGAGTCCAGTAACAGGGGATGTAAGAAAACAACGGGTTGTCCCATGGTTCAGCCAGGATGTGCTTCAGTCAAGAAGACCTCAGGAAGGAGGGGGATTCTGGGGGGAAGGGAAGTTCTCCTCCATTCCTCTGTTTCTGAAAGGCCCTTACAACATCTCTGCTTAATGCACAAGCTGAGAGCACAAAGAACAAGCCAATGATTGGTCATGAAGTCACTGCATTCCGCAGCTTCTCAGCCTGATGGGGCCACCAAGGGGGCTTTCATAGCAGGAAGCATGAGCTCATGGCAAACTGTGGACTGAGACCCATTCTTGAGCTGTGGGTGCAGAAGTAGCAGAAGCCAAACTCAGAGGAGGGTGTTTTGTGAGGTTATAA